TAGGCGATAGTGAAATGATATAGCACAAGAACTTTGTTTCTTCTTAAAGGTTTCAAAACTAAAGTTATTAGAAGAATGGAAAACTAAATTTTTGTGTTGAGAGTAATTCTGGAGCCAGGTGTGGTGGCGCACACCTATAATCCCAGCACTTGGGAGGCTGACGCAGGAGGATCACTGTGAGTTCTAGGCCATCCTGGGCTACATAGTGAACTCAAAGCCATCCTGAACTACATATCAAGACCCTGTCTCAAAAAATGCCCCCCAGATAAAGAGAGTAAGTCTGGAAAATATATTTGAATACCTGTCTTGACTGGGCCAATTCTAGATGACACTCCTTTGTGGAACTGCCTGACTAGGCTAATTTGGACATTGTCAAATTCTAAAGCACCCCAAAGAGCTGATCTGATGTAATGTGGGGAAATAAGACAAACCTTGGGGAGAAGACAGAGATTCAGATGAGTAAGAGTGCCTGTTTTGGGATCAGAAATAAGCCTACCCATCTCATCACCCACAAAAAACTGGGTAACACTCCTGAGTCTCAAATTTGCCTAAATTTATTCTGGAACTTTTAAGTATACTTGGAAAAATCTAACAATGGATTTCTTTTTGTAATAAACAAGAGGTATTAACCTATAACTTCCCACATAACAAAAGTGCTTTTGCAGTTTGCTCTTCAACATAAATATTCTTTCATAAGCAAGTTACTTAAATTAGATTTCAGCTTCAAAAATCAGTATCACATTTTTCAACCTTCCAGTTTACTTTATTATGACTGGAAAATTCTGCAAAGCTAAGGAAGTATGCCAATCATAAATTAAAATAACATCTGAAGGGCCAAAATATAGCCCCATGGTTCATAAGCCTACAAAGGATCTAATGTCATGAAGTTTACAAGTAGCAAAGCCTGGTGACAGTAATTTTCCTTAGGTGAAACTATCAACTAAAATAGCCTGTGAGACATCTTGCTACACCCCTATATTTCTCATCAGACTTGAGGATTGAGTTTTAAAAATAAAACTTCATTTCTGAAATTTCCTCATCCACAGTTGGTCCCTCGGAATGCATACACCTCTTCCTGGAATGCCGTGGTCATCACAGCTGAAAGCCTCTCAGTGGCCACACTTCCCCTTGCTACAGGGAAACACTTTGACCCCTAACCACCAGCCAGCGAGCTGCCTCTGCGGCAATTAGGCTGGCAACCTTAAAACAGCTGTTCCCAAAGTGACTAATCGCTGGAAACACCTAGCCCTTTCATGTCCTGGGGACAGGTCACACCAGACCTTCTGTATACCACCACCAGTCAAGGCGTCCTGCTGAATCAGAGGCTATGCTCCCCTTTCCAATCCCCTCATCAGTCAAATGTGCCAAGATGATTTTTTTCAGATGTGCATCTGAGACACAAACAAGAAGGGAGACTTTTTTTTAATTGCCCATGACTTGCTTTATGGCCCCTAGGAACTCATGAGAACTTCTGCCAAAGTAATTTCAAATTCAGAAGCAGAAAACGAGTATTTCTGGTAGGTCTGAAGACCAACATCTAAATGCATCATGGTCTAACACTCTCAGAAAGGCACTGTGCTGAGAAATGAACCTAGCAGAGCAGAGGGATTTTTGTTTGTTAATTAAGGTGAAACGATGTCATAGTTAGCTTCTCATTGCTCAGGAAAGTCCTCTTCAATGCCTGCTACCCTGGAAAGTTAATTCAAGCTTTCAGATTGCCAGTGAGCTGGATTATTATCAGGTAGTTATATTCAAAAGAAGCTTTTAAGGACAGTGCTGCTGCTAAGAACTGTGAGAACAAAACCCCATGGGTTCATAATTTGGAGTGTTTGCCACACTGGGTATGTGGCTCTGCCTTCTGGCAAGACAGGCTCGGGTGTCCTCTAGCCCCACAGCCCCGGGTACACAAAACCTATGCTCTGAAGGCTTTGCTGCTCCCCCTTTTCACGCTTTTCCTGCCCTGTGATTCTGCTAGTGTTTTACTCTGATTTGGGTGTCTCGTGGCATGGAACAAAAACTTACAATTTCAGAAAAACCATTTTAAAAAAGAACCACTTAAAGGCTGAAAACACAATCTGGGGGATATACGCAAATGACCTTCTTCATCATTGCACCAGGGATTAAACCTAGGGAATGCTGAGTTATATCCACAACCTTTTTTATTTTTTATAGATTTTATGATAGGGTCTCACTAAGTTGCCCAGGATAGCCTTGAACTGACAATACTCCTAAACTTCCTAGGCAGCTGGGATTATGGTAGGCATGTGTCACCATACCTAGACAAAAACAACAGATGTTCCAAAAGATCCCTGGGACATCTTTCTGAAAAGATATTCCAAATGATCTGATAGAACATCTATTTAAATGTTCTAACAATATCTACTACATAAAGACATATAGACAGTGACCTCATGTATTGATTTAAAACATAAGGAATGAACATATAAAGTCTGGAATCCAAAAGTGAATTTATTATCACTATGCCCTACCCTCGTGTTAATCAAAGTAGGTAGCCAGGCACTGGGGTTTAGCTCAGTGGTAAAATATGTGCTTGACAGCGCATATGAGACCCTGGGTTCAATCCCCTGTACAGAAGAATGTGCTATAAGATTATTACCAAAAAAAAAAGAAGAAGAAGTAAAGAAAGAAATACGATATTGTACTGGCAATTGAAATTTCCTAGACAATTTTAATTTTAGTCCCTACCTTAATATAAAACATCTCCCATATGTTCATACTAATAATTTATACTATTCAAATTTGAGTTTGATATAAACCAGTATTTCCACAAATTAAACCATAACCTTAGAAGGTGACGCATGTATCAAAATTTCTTAAAAACTCTCTAAGTCATTCTCATTTGCAATGGTTGACAGCCACTGAAACAAACTAATATCTTTAAGACCTTACTTTCTTAGGGAAAAAAATGTAACAATTAAGAACCCAGAAGAAGTAAGCTAAACAAATAGAAAATCCTAATCATGTAAGTAAAATATTAATACTGTGCCTTCCAAAAGTGAAGGCAGGTTGAAAAGGATGGAAAGTGTGATATAGTAGATGATTTGGGGCCTACTAGGGAGACTTCCTAGGAAAGACACACTATAAAATAGAATTATACAGGTTAAGAGAGTCAATTAATCACAGAACAAGGCATTACAAGACAACCCCTTAAATTAACCTGAGCATTCAGGCCATTGAACAGTAATGGCTATAATTATAAGGGATCTGTTCTTTATATCATTATTTTTAAAAGGAATCCTATTCAAGACTTGGATTTTACTGTTATAGAAAGCTTTTCATTTTAGTTGATTTTTGCAACTGTCCAGGAAAACATTTCACCCAAAAGGAAAAAGAAATTATTTATCTAAGGTGGATGAAGAAGCATTCTAGCTGGTGCTGTTTCCTGGCAAAGGAATTTATCCTGAATTTCATACATATGCACAATAAAGGACAAATACATTTCAATATATGAAAGCATTGCAGGTTTCTGAGTAGAATATGTTTCAAGTTTCCTGTCTCCAAGAATACTTATTTTGACATTACACTATCTCTCTGTTTTTCAAAATATTAGAAATGACTGAGATGGGACAGTCTAGCTTATTTTGTGTGTTTAAAAGATCTCTTGTTTGTACTTTTACTTAGGTATGTGTAAAAACCAATATGTGACCTACTTTCTACCCAGGGAGGTTAGCATCACTGTCTAAGGTTCCTTGCTTTTCACCACATTTTTGGCCTTTTCCATTCCTGCCTGGCTCCACACCTCTCTCAGGTTATTCTTCCCAAACACTATTTCTACCTTGTCATCCTCTGTCAGGGAACCAACAAGAGTTCCCTATTGGGTCAAGTCCTGACTGCACAGTTTGGCCCTTAGAAATTTGATGACTCTGCCTCTACAAATTGCTTTCCACCTTCCCCAATATCTTCGTTCTAATCACACCAGTCTCCCTACTGCCTTCCACAGAATTCAAATTTCACTCACATATTCACTCACTGAACATTTATTGAGCACCAACTCAGTGTTAGGCCTGGTAGTCATCTCTAGGTTTTTTTTTTTTTTTTTTTTTTTGGTTTTTCTCTGGTACCGGGAACCGAACTCACGACCTTGCACTTTCCAGGCAGGCGCTTTTGCCGCTGAGCTAAATCCCCAGCCCCACCTAAATCCCCAGCCCCCATCTCTAGTTTTATACTTTGGCCATCCCTATTCCTCCCTAGATTCATACTGTCTGGTTTTTTTAACACCTTACTACTCCTAATAGTCTGGCTCAAACACCAAGTCCCCTCCACAGCTCTCCACTCTGTGGAATCACCAGGCAGCTCCCTTATCCTCAGGATCCCTAATCACCAGTTCAAATTCTGGACTCACACAGCACTTTTCTAGACTATTGTCAAAGATTCCACTTCAAACAAGTTTGGAGACTCTGGTTTAAGTTAAGCTGAACATAGTTTCCCTTATAAGGATTTTCAGAGATCTTTAATAAACGTTAGTTGTAAATTTGTAAGAAAGGTATGGAGGAATCAGCATTTCACAAACTTATTGCACATGAAATTTTTATACCACAACTATAGATATCTCAGAGAAATCTTGTTTGGGAGACGTCCATAGTTACTCTAAACTGGTGCCACATGATTTACCACTTAATGACACACTAGCTAGATGGCATTATCCTGTTATTCCTCCCTCTATCTTTCTATAGTCTGTATAGCTTAGTCCTTTCTATACATTTTAGTCTTTCTCAAATGTCCAAAATATGAAGTCCCTCCCTTATGACTAAAAGGTTTACAGCAGTTAGTACTTGTCTCAACCTTTGGTGAAACATTTTTTTTTGGTGAAATATTTTTAAATGCACTAATTTACCACCTTGCCTTAGTAAACATCAATGAATGAATTTTTGACTGAATCTTTGGCTGAAAGTGGGAGACATAATAAAAAGACAATGGTACCATTTTTGAAAACAATTCCAAAGCAGACCACCCACTTGGGCCTCAGTATCTTCACCTACATAATAGAGAGAGAGAACCTCCCAGTTCTGATGGTCTGTCTTCCAGCATCTTGGTGTCATGACTCCTCAAGTGAGTATTCACTATCCACGCCTGTACAGGTAAGGACAAAACTCAATTAGATATCACCCCCAAAACACTCTTAAGAAGCCTTTGTGCTTGTCTCTAATTTGTTCTGTCAATGATTTCCCTCTTTTGAATAGAAAACAATTCCTGTGGATTATGGTTGTCATTTGGATTTGAATTAACATAGGTTTTACTCTGGAGAATAGAACAACTTTCAGCAGTAGTAACAAGAGGAACGTTTCCAGTGCTCTTCAATTTACAACATGCAGCCAGCAACGGTCAGACGGACCCAGAGACACAGACACAGATAGAGGAACTCCTTTAAGGGGGAGGTAGACACAAACCTCTGAAAAGCAGCTGCAGTAAATCTCCCCTTCTACTGGATTAAGAGCTATACAAACAAGTTCATTTCACAATGTAGGGGCTTCTGTGTCAATGAGTCAGATTTCTTAAGCTTCAAAGACCCGTTTAGGGAAAAAAATAACTATGAGTCTAAGACTCCAGAAAGGATGAATATTGAAAATCTCTACTCCATTATTCTAATGAATTTTACATTAGTAGTCTGTTTCCACAATATATAATGCAAAATGATAAGCAAATTACACTTCTGTATTTTTTTCAACTACCTATTTTTAAAAAGTATAAATATTACATCTAGTCCAAGATTTAATAAGTGAAAGATGTATCACTGTATTAAACATTAGGTGTTAACTTCTCTTAGTCTCAGTTTTCCTGTCTGTAAAGTGGAGTTCATAATAAAGCTTGCCTTTCAGTGTTGTCGTGAGCGTCCAAGAAATAATGTATGAAAACCACTTGATACATTATTATTGCTATTGTTTTTACCACTATGATTGTTATTTGGCTGGTACAATTATTACTAATTTATTATTATTAAAAGGACAGAAAGGATTATTATTAAGCTATGGGAATAACATCTCTTTGTTTAAAAGCAAAGTCTTTCTGAACTGTTGTAAATCAACATATAACTATAAAGCTAGTTAGATCTCAGTTGAAAAACCCAGGAAATCTTTTCATATGTTTTCTTTTGCCTTTAGTAGTTTCCTTCTCTCAACCACTAACCATCCATGTCCTCAATTCACATCATCCAAGGAAGCTTAGTGGGGAAAGAACTAAGGTGAAGTCAGAAGAAACCAGAGTGAAAGCCCAGTTCTTCACTAACAGACTGGAAGATGAATTAAGGGATGAACAGAAAAGAAGGTTCTCGTCTCCAGGCAAGAGGCACAAACTGTACTCCCCAAAATGTCAACAACCAGCTGTGTGAGCAGATAGAGAAACAGTAGACTAGATGACCTCTATGGCTCCCTTCCAACTCAGTCAGGCCACTTGACTGCTTTCTGCAAACCCAAGTGTGAAAGGAAGCATTAGGCTAAATATTATTGTTTTTTTTTTTAAAGTTCAGTGCTATTCAAGAATGAAGTGTAACTCACAGACCCTAAAAGTACAACTTTAACTCATTAACTTACCTAAATGCTTGGCAGTACAGTCTGAGATGACACAAAGTAATGTTTTGATAAAAAGTTAATTGCATTGGATACAGTAAGAATTATTATTTTGTTAGTTATGTAATTTGAGCTTGCACCTATGTTTATAAAAGTAAATTCCACTTACAAAGGATCAAGGGGCACTGACTTAGAAACTTCATATGGATTTTGTATATACAGGATTAATAATCAATTTACCTACTGTTTTTCTTCCTTTTTAAATATCTTAGATCTAACTTATCTAAGCAGGCTTCCTTCTACTGGATCTATAAACTTCAAAAACCAGAGGATAAATTATCTTTGAAATTGCTCAAACACTTTTCTAAATCTCTAGTACAATTTCTTCATTATAACATTTAATAATTATTAACTAACTAGAAGCTCTTGAAGCAAACACTTCTTTGGGACCAACAAAAAATTTATTAAGCATCAACTATGCTGCAGTAAGTATTTGGGGAAGTAAGGCTCTTAAGAGTTTCCCTCTATAACTTACAATAATTTGGGTAACCTGGATAATGTACATTAGAAATGAAATGGAGCTCACAAATATTTCATTCTCTTTAATTTGACAAGACACGTTCTAAAGGTGACTTTTCTCTCATTCATACACAGAAGAGATCATCTTACTAATGTCAAAGGTTTCTATTTCTAGAAAAGTGATTATATAAATCACTAAATTCATTGGTGAGCTTCGTTATCTAAATAACTAGATAATCTGCTCTACCCAGTTGTTTGAACCAAGTTCCCCTGGTTGCCTAAGAATAGAGGAGTCACTATTCTTTGGGAATTCCTACGGGTCCAGAAAGTATTCTTAAAGTCACATAAATCACATAAAAGCCACGTTTCTTAAGGTTAAATCAGAAGGACTGGTTTGTTATTCATTATGTCAGAAAATGTGTAATCTTTCTCTTGTATTTATTGCCCACAAGGAAATTTTCAAAACAACATTAAATGAGAATCCTGAATGTTTGAAATACTGCAACTCAGGGAAAACTTTAACTAGACCATCCATAGAGCAAAATTTCTACATTCCTTTAAATGACAATAAATCCAATTCTGTCTGCCCAGTCAGTCAAGACAGCCCCTTCAGAATTTCTAAAATAGGTAAGAGCATGTTTTCTCTCAGACACAACACGTGTATTCATTTTTGAAGAGTCTCAGAGACTGCTGACTGGCTCGGGCTGGTTCATAAGGACACAAGAATTAGGAAAATCTGTGACGAGTGGCTCCCCTGTGTTAATGGACTAAACAGGGGATAAAATTCTGTGGGCTCAAGTATGGTAAATGATGAATTGCAAGAAAAAAAGCTGGCATAGCTTCTTACTATGTAAATTCCACTCCTTTAAATAAAGGAGGGTTTGTTTGCCAGAAGGTTTAAAGTCAATCACAAAATCACTCATGTACTAGGAAAAGACTATTAGCTGATCAAAAGATGGTTTCTCCAGTAATCAGTGGGAAACACTCCAAAATTTATACTCATGATATTGCTTAAACTGGCTTCTCTGGTTCTCAATTTGTCAATCCTAGTATGTCATGGCATGGGAGTTTATAAAATGTAAATAGAGAAAAAGTCCAAGGAAATTCCATTTCTTTTGTGTTCCTCCAGCTAAAGTTTTCCCAATGCCTGTTTTCTTCTTGCTAACAATGTCAGATACAATACTGTATTTAAAAAAGAGATTTAAAACATATCACAGTCTTTGTTATAGGAGAATTTCCCCTTTTAGAAAAGAAACTTAGAGATTTTTTTTTTTTTAAAAATCTTCATTGATGCACACTGTTCCTATACCCATCAGAAGTTACCATTTAGGCTCAAATGTTTGGAATTACAAACTTAATATATAAAAAGGCCACTTCCATCCTAAAAAATTTTTTTTCAGAGACATAAACCTGAAAATGTAACTTTTCTTTTCAAACACAGTTGGCTGATTGTTGGTCTCTTGTCCAGCAAGATTTATAATAAATCTAGTATGGCCGTATCTAGATGTCCCCCCAAAGCCTCATGCAGTCATAGGTAGGGCTTTTTGGAGGTGGCTGCATCAAGGATGATGCTGGAATCCAGGATGAGAAGCTGAGATTGATTCATGGTACAATGCTAGGATCAAGGGTATCCCACCTGTGAGTGCTACCCACCCTAAGGGGGATAGCCTGGATATAATATAAGCAATAGAAAGAGGGTCACTTGTTCTTTGTTGCTTGCTGCTTGCTGCCTTGCTGCCTTTTTCCTGCCATGAACTGTTTCTCCTCTGCAAAGCCCCTCTGCCATGCCACCCTGCCTTGGAACCAGCCAACCATGAAGTGAAACCTCTACAAACTGTGAGCCATAATAAAACTTTCCTCCTTTAACTTTAGGTGTTGGGTATTTTGTCTTAGCAATGAGAAAAGTAACTAAGACATTATCACTCATTCATTCAACAAACATGTATTGAATGGCTACTACAAGCTGTGTCACTGTAACTACTTTAAGGGGTCTATAAATCCTGGCTCCAAAATGCAAAGTCTATGAAACCTTGGATAAATTTCTTAAGCTCCCAAGTTTTGGTGTCTGTAAAACACTGACAGGCAACCATATTTTAAAGGTGAACCTGGAGGAACATCATCTTCCTTATTCAGATACCCCACTAAAATGTGTCAATCTAAAAGAAGACTACTGTCTTAGTTACAGTTCTCCAGAAAAACATGCAACTTCAGACCATACTCTTCAGTGAAATAAATCAGACTCACATGTGTAAACATCATATTGTCTCCCTGGGGTGAGAAACAGAAAGAGTAAATAAGGCCCAAAATGTACAATGGATATTGTGAAGTGGGAAAAAATTGTTAAAAAGGAAAGAAGAACGAAGGTGGGAGAAGAGGGAAAAGAAGGAAGGGAAAGGGGGAATAAACAACTTTTAAAAGAGAAGAATAAATAACTTTAAAAAGGGGGAATAAACAACTTTAAAATGGAAGCAGAGCTTTGTAAATAGGGAGAGAAAGGGGTTGAAAGGAGAGAGGAGATTGGAAAAAATAGAAAAATCAAAATCTATCATGTAAAGGTATAAATTCCCTATGATGAATATGATCATTATGTATATCTAAAATGTACCAATAAACTTAATTATATTAAAAATACAGACCAAGATATAGATATAGACATTAAAAAGAGATTTATTAAGGGAAATTAGTATATGCAGTTATGGAAGCTGAGAAGTCCTACGACAAGCCACTTGCAAAAGCTGGAGACCCTGGGATGCCAGTGGCATGGCCCAGTCCAACTTCAAAAGCCTCATAATCAGGTAAGTTGAAAGATACTAATCTAATTCCTGGAGGCCAAAGACAAGAGAGCTAGAGTTCTGTTGTCCCAATGTCAGGAGAAGGGTAGCCTAGATGAAAGGGAGAGAGACCACAGATAGAACTCAAGTATTTATAATGACACCGAGGTTGTGGAGAAATTAAAACACTTGTGCACCGCTGGTAGGGATGTAAAATAGTGCACACTCCTAAAAGACAGTGTAAGAATTCCTCAAAACTGTAAATATAGAATTACCA